AGGAGCAAGCTCCTTGGCCACCTGGGGGTTAGAACAACCTGGACAGGGAAGAGAAAGGCATGAGCCATGGCCTGAGAGCCACAGGAAGTGACGTAGAGCCAGGGAGCCAGGAAGACGAGGCGCCACCGACTCAAGGACATTAGGCAACTTTGTTTACAAGGCTCTTCCTGGACACCTGTGCCCCCCCACTCCCAAGAGACACAAGCCACCAGCTCTCACCACAGGGGAGGTGGGCTGGGGGTCTAGTCCCCCATATCCCAGCCAGTGCAGGGCAGGGTCCTCATGGGGAGGCCCCACGCTCCTCCTTCCAGCCCAGGGCCTCAGAAGGAAGCGGCTGGGCTTGAAATCAGATCTGCCAGGTGGCATTTGGTTTCACTTCCTTTCTCCTGAGCAGAGTGCTCAGCTGAGGAGTGGGGAGCATAAGGACACTCCGGGGTCTCCCAAGGGGGCCGGGGGATCTGGACTTACTCCAGAGCAGGCTGGCAAGTTTTCCATCTGTCGGAGGCTGCGGGAGGCTGGAGACATGGATCCTGAACAGGATCCCACATGCAACCTGGCCAGGCCACTCTGGGCAAGTTACTTGTGCCTCAGTTTCCTCATTTGCTTAGCGGATTAAAGACATTAACACTAATATGTAAAGCATGCAGCTCAACCACGGGCAGAGGTGAGCCCTGGGAGGGCCGAGAGGTAGAGGATTCTGTCATCTAGTGACGGTGGCCACAGTCACTCCCCTGAGTTCAAAGAGAACACATTATTGACTTGGGGTACACATTTCCAATGTTCCCCAAAATACCTAATCTTAAAGGCTCCAGGCTGACCCCTTTCAAATTCTGTGGGAGTCCCCCCAAGATAACTGGTGCAGGGCCCTCCCAGCTTTTGAAGCCCAGATCTAGATCGAGCCCTCCACCTGCCATCTCTACCCATGGGGGACGGATCCAGCAGCTGGAGATAAGGCCTCCTTCCCCTGCTGACCTCCCCTTTACCTGTACCTCCTCCCTTCTTTACCTGTAACCTCCCTTCTTTACCTGAGAGGGGCCCAGAAAGAGCCTTAGCTCTTTCTGATTTCAGTGAGCAATGGACGGGGTGGACCAGGTGGCGATGGAGAATAGAGAAATGCCTCCTGTCTCTCCCTAGCATGAGGGTTAGGGGACTCAAGACTTTGGGGGACTCGGTGCTACCAGCAAGAAATATGCACAAAAACTCAACATGATCTGAATGTCCTGCTCCCCAGCCTGGTCCTTTGGACCTTAAGCAGAATCTCACCAGACAAAAGTGCATTGCCAGCCCCCAGGAGGTTGCCAGTCCTCTCGTGCCTCACCGTGCCTCCCATTTGATGGAGTCTTAAATGCCACGGGGGACAGGAGAGGGTCCCCGTGTCCTGTGGAGGCCCCTCGGGACCAAGGTGCACTTTCTAAGGAAAGGAGGGTGGCACTGAATGGAACCTCAAGGGGAGAGGGAGGTGTGGGGGAACAGAGGCCAGACACAGAGCCTGGCTTCACTGTCACCCCGGGCATCTGAAGCTGGGGTGGGCAGACCAAGTTCACTGGCAGGAAGAACTACACGGGGACGAGGCCTCTCTGGGAAGTGAGAGGCTGCCCTGGTGACGTACCCCAGGCCAGGGAAGGCGATGCCATCCTTGAGAACACACCCAAGGGATCTTACTTGCCCAGGCACTGCCCTCCAAACAGGGGGTGCAGGAATGGAGGGGAAACGCCAGGGGTGCAGAGCAGTTTCTTACAGGCTGAATAAGAAGTACAGGCCTCATTTGTGGACACACCCCGCACTGTCAGCACTTGGGCCCCAAAAGGCAGACCCCTCCTCAGTTGGGGAGGTAAGGAGCTTAGCCGTGCCCCTGTTCCTGGAGGGCTCTGGATGCCAGCGCTGCCAGTCTGGCATGGAGCCCCGAGCTTCCAGCTGGCAGTGCCTAGGGGAGACTCTGATGTGCATTAGCTGGAAGGAAGCCCAAGGCTCCGAAAGGGGCATATTTTAAAGTGGTGCTTCAGGGAATGGGACTGTGGGAATGGAACAGCTCAACAACTTCTGGAGCCACTGGAAGCCCAGAGGGGCCTGCCGGTCACACATGAGTCCCCCAGACCATCCAGTTCCCTAGCCAGAGGGGGCTGGCAAGGGCCTATCTCCCCGGAGCACCCCAGAAGCACTAGCCTGAGCTGGCTGGAGAGGACCCAGGAGTTGGGTTCTTTTTCCCAAGGTCAAGGAAGAGCCTCTAGCGCACAGGTCAGGAGAGCTGGGTCAGCTCGCAGTTTCCAGGGCAAGATTGCACAACCCCTCTCCCTCCCCCCTCCCACCAGTCTTATCTCTGGCATCAACCCAGATAGTGCTCCTCCAAGGGACAGACTCCTCCCTCCCCCTAGCGGAGGACAAACTCCTGGGGGCCTGGAACAGTCCAGCCCAGAGTGATCATCCGGATGCTGTGGCCTCTGACCCTTCCTCTCCCACCAATCCAAAGCAGGGGCAGGGCCGCGATATCGAACCCCTCGCCTGGCCTGCCTGCCTGCCTGCCACACCTGGGCCGGGCCTGTCCCGGCCACAGAAATCAATCTCGAAATCCAAAGGTGGAGGGTGGAATCCAACCCAAGGCCCTTCCTTCTGGGACGGTTCCCTGGGAAAGAAGGATCAGAAGATGCCTCTCCTAGGTCAACCATTCCCATTGCCCCCCTTTTGTAGGTGAGACCTCAGCTGCAGGGGGCGGGGGGGGGGTGCTCCCTGGTCTCCAGACCTGGGAGGGCTGGTCTGTCAGTTGTCAGGGGGTGCAGGACAGAATGGGCGAGACACTCACCTGGGATGCTGGCATGAGCGTGGGGGGGTGGGGTGGGGTCTAAGAGAAATGAGAGGGGAAAGACGAGGGATCAGGAAAGGAAAAAAAGGAGGGAACCCCAGAAAATGGAAGGAATGCTCCCAGCGGAAGTCTGAGTCACTGAGGCTCCACATGAGCCCAGTCATCAAGGAGGGGGTGCCCAGGAACTCAGGGAGACTGCAGAGGGGCTGAGACTCACCCCAAACAGCACCTCTAGAGAGCCAGCTCACTGTGACACCGGGGTTCCCAGGAAGACCAGGAGACCACTTGGGGTCACAACCCCTCTGTGGGAAGGAGCAGCTGTCCTCCAGGACTGGAGGGGCAAAGTCCAAGTTCCAGGGAGATAAACCGCTCCAATGGGTCACATGGGCAGCTGATGAAACTGAAACGCACGTGGCTCCCCCACACTTGCAGCAGGCTCCTGGCTACCCCACCAGGAAGGCGCGCCCGGGTCCCAGGTGGATGTCTCCAGATGCTTTGGGGGCTCTGGGGCCACCTCGACCCTTGGCTGGGCCGGCCCTTGTCCAGCACACTCCCCGCGGCCCGGAGGAAATCCAGGGTTCAGCTTCCCTCTTCCTTTGTGCCCTGTTCTTTGTTCTCTTAAAATTCAGTCTATCCTGCTGGTGGTCCCCTCCTCCACCCAGGCCTCAGAAAGGGGGCGGAGGCGGTGGGGAGTTATTAGAAACCCAGACAGTGCACAGAAGTTGCATTGCAGGCCCCTGCCCTCGGGTGCCCGAGCCCCGAGCCCCGCATTGTTGCCGCCGGCGGGAGGGGGGACTATTTCTGGGGTCCAGATGGCAGCTGGGGGCGAGGACCAGGGCGTCTCCCTCGGCCACCCAGCCCCTCTCGAGGGGTGCAGGCGGCGTCCCAGCTCGGGGACCCTCAGGGCCCTTCCCCCATTCAGCGGCTGCGCCCCGAGAGCCCCGCGCGGGGCCGGGTGGCCAGCGGGGCCCAGAGCAGGGCAGAGCATCGTGTTTCCCCGCCGCTCTCCCGGGGAGAAAAAGAAAACTTCCAGGGCCTGGGCTGCTGCGTCTCAGCGGGAAACACTCGAATCTGGTTCGAGTTAGCAGGGCGCACCCCTCCCCCCGACCCCTGAGACACACTCGCCGGGCTCGGGCTTCCCCGCGAGGCGCCCCCCTCGCCTCGGCCCTGCAGCCCCCCTCGCTTCCCGCCCAGCTCCCCCGCCGGCCACTCCCCGGCCGCTCCCGGGGGGCGCACGCCGCGGGCGGGGGGCAGTTGGGGAGACCCGGCGGGGGGCGCTCCAGGAGGGGGGCGGTGCCAGAGCGCGGATCCCGGCTCCGCGGCCCCAGCCGGCGATTAAATAATTAACCAGCCGCTCCCCGAGCGCGGTTCCGCCCCGAGCGCTGCGCCCCGGGCGCACCGGCTCCCGGTCCCGGGCCGGCCCCTCGCAGGCTCCAAAAGGGCCGGCGGCTCGGCGGGGCCCCACCCCCGGGAGGCGCCGGGTCGCTCCCGCCTCGGCCTCGGGCGCGGGCCCTGGAGGAGGCGGCGGGCGGGAGCCCGGCGGAGAGGGAAGGGTTAGCCCGGGAGGGGTGGAGTATTTGTTCCCTCGGCCATTCCCTTCCAGGCGGCTCCTTCCCTCTTTTCTCCCCGGCCTGTGACACGGCGCTGCGGCGTGTGGACGAGGCCAGCGCGAGGGGGCCCGGCCCGGCCACCCCCGGCGGGTAACCCGGTGCTGGGTCCCGGGAACTCTGCGCACACGCCCCCCTCCCGGAGCCGCGGCCGGCGCCCCGATGGCTGCGCGGCTGCCCACGACACACACCCCATTCCCGGGCGCGGGGTGGGCCTTTCAAGCCGGCCCCTCCATGGCACCCCAGCCCCAGCCGCACCCCCGGCAGCGCCGCGGGCCAGCCCGGCAGATCCCCCCGGGGAGAGGAAACCCAGTGGATCTCGGCTGCGCCGGGGCTGGGCACGGTCGCTCCCCGCCAAGCCCTGTGCGCGGCCCCGGCCCCGGGCACCCGAGCCGCCCGCACGAGTCGGGGTCCAGCCCGGCCGCCCTGGCGGGGCGCAGCGCCCGGCGCGGAGAAGAGGGCCCCCCGCCTTTCTGCGCGCCCCGGTGCCCCCCAGGAGGCTTGCCCAAGCCTCTCCACCCCCTCCCCCAAGCCCAGCCCACCCAGGCCTCGCAGGGCGCAGGGGGCCGCCCGGCCAGAAGCGGGGCGTCGCCTACCTCGGTCCCCACGGGCGCGAGCGCCCCGCAGGCGCGATGGCGCGGCCCCCTCGGCGGGCTCCGCGCGGCGCCGGGGCTGGCGGCCCATGTCCGCGCGCGGGCGTCGCTTTCCCTCGCTCTGGGCTCTCGGGGCCGCGAGCCGCGGACACTCCCCTCGCAGGCTCCTCCCGCGCGCCCGCGGCCGGCCCCTGCCTGATGTCACGGCGCGGCCGCGGCCAATGGCGGGGGGACTCGGCGGCCCCGCCCGGCCCCCGCGGTTCAAATCTGAAAGCCCGACGCTCTCCCGGCTGCGGTGGGGCCGGCCCGGGCGGCCGGCCAGGAGTCCAGCAGGGAGGGCGCAGGGCGTCCCCGCCTGGCTGCGCTCGGGGCCCGACCTCCCCCTCGGGGAGTGGGGGCGCCACTCCCCCCGATGGCCCCGCGCGAGGCCCGCCCGAGACGGACCCGGTCCCGGCAAAGCCCAGAAACTAGAAACTCCCGCCCCGCGGGTTCCCCGCGCTCTCCCTGCCCACCTGCCGGCGGAGGTGGGCGCCCGAGGGCCGGCGCCGCGAGGTGCGCGGATTCCACCCCAGACTCCGCCTGGGGACGCCCCGGTTTCGGCGGGGTGTCTGTCTTCGGGCGCCGCGCTTCCCCAAGCCTGTGCGCCCGGGGCCTCCGGGCCATCTGCTCGGGCTGCGTCCTGCTCCCAGGAGCTCAGAGGGGACGCCTGGGCTCCAGCGCGGAATCCTGTTGAGAAGCTTTCACTTGTGAATGATCGTTACTCATAAAGGCCAGCGGAGAGAAATTGGCGGGAGAGTGGACACAGCGCTGGGTGTGAAAGTTCCCTCGCCTTTAGCAGCTCCCTGGGGCGCCGGGGCAGAGGAGCCAGGCTTTCCCACCACGGCCACCTTCCGCGAGACCCCCTCCCTGGGTCCTGGGGGCGAGACCCCCTCCCTGGGTCCTGGGGGCGAGACCCCCTCCCTGGGTCCTGGGGGCGAGACCCCCTCCCCGGGTCCTGGGGGCGAGACCCCCTCCCCGGGTCCTGGGGGTGGTGATGTCCTCTCCTTGCTCCAAGCTGCAAGGAAGCTTCCCTGCACCGGCTTCCTGAACTCCTGAAATCGTACCTGCTCAAGAAAACTTGCATCATTCCGGGAAGCACGCCTCTCTTTCCTCTATTTTTAACAAATTAGTTTGTCTTTTAGGGCCCTGTTAGTAGTTTGTACTTTTACAGGTGGCTGGGGGCGTTTGAGGCAGCTTCCGAAAGCATTTCACATTCCCTGAACTTTGCCTTTGGGACAAAGACGAATCAAGTCAAACTCCTGCCCTCTGGATGCCCACAGCAGGCACGTCTGCCCACACGAGGAGCTCAGGAGATGCTCTGGAAAGCGGTCCCCAGCACCCCTAGCTCCCTGGCAAGAGGCTTGATTAAAGGCGGGTGCTTGTCTCGCTGGCCTCTGGCGTCCCAGACCTGTGGATCTCGAGTGTCTGCCGAGGTTGTTTTCCTCCAGCCTTTCACATTAGAGCTGTTTATTGATAACCAGAGGAAATTAACAACATGAAAAACATGAAGCTTGCATACCTACCTTGAAATTTTTGGCAAGCTCTAAGCCCCTGACTTTGGAGAGGGATTTGAGGTCTTAGCTGCACCTTGGATGTAACTTGACCTCTAAGCCCTTAGGCCCGGGCGTGTGTCTCTGCCTGTCCTAGCTGCCAGGGCTTGCCCTTGGGACTTGGGCTGGTGAGATCCTGACAGCTGCCTGGGCCTGCCCCCCTCCCCCAGGTGCCACCCACCCCCGACACTCACCCCCTGGGGTTTGATAACATGGGGTTCCAGGCATTTTAGTTCACCTTGTTTGGCCCCAGCCCTAATGAGGATCCTGGTTGGTCCTGTTTCCTTTTAGAGAAGCTGGAGGCCCCACACTGTCCGATACCATAACAGCTTGATGCTGGGCAGGTCATTTTACTTTAAGAAATCAGCTGATGACCAAGGTTCCTTTCTACCAAATGATCTTATGACTGACTTCTCTCTACCCTGAGTTCCACCCCCAGCTTTCCCCTACTGAAGTTAGAAGAGATGGCCCTGGATGGACACCACCTGCCGGGGGGGGGGGGGGGGGGTGGGGGGGTGGGGGGGTGGGGGTTAACCAGGGCCAGATGTCAGCCTTGGAGACCTGAGTTCCTGCCTGCCCCAGGCTATTCACTCCCACCCAGCTGGTCAGAAGCTCTTTCTCTCCAGGGTCCCTAGGAATCACCTGGAGCTCTCTGTGGCCTGAACAACCTCTGCTGCCCGGGCAATCTCTGCTGCCCAACCTGGGAAAATCCGCAGGAGACCAGGCTCCTGGTAGAGACTCTGGGGCTCAGGGAAAGGCCCTCTACCACTGTGGGACTAGTCCATCTCTGGGGACTTTTTGCCACAGGCTCCGGGCACATGATTCTTCCCCACCCCCCTTTCTGAGGGAATTACATATCAGCACTCTGGGGAGAGAGCCCCTAGAGACTAAAACAACAAATGATCCCCTGGGCTCCTTGGGGACAGCACGGTGTTCGCTTGAGGTTGGAATCTCCACTGTGGGTTGGTACACAGGACACTGGCCAGATGATGGAGTGGGGTCCAGAGGCCCTCAGCCCTCTTGTCTGTCTGCACTGCTAACCCTGGCCTGAAACTAGCTGGGCTCAGTGCCCCTGCATGAGCTGGCTGGGCCACAAGGCCATATCCTCCCAGAATGACAGCTCCCCACAGCTTAGGGTGATGGAACCCTATGCCTCAATGCACCCTTGCCCAGGAGGGAGGGAGGGAGGCTGGTCACTAGGTTAAGGACAGGAGGTAGCAGGGGGTTGAGGTGGGCCCAGAAAAAGGGCAGACATGGGTCAAGAGCTGGCAGCACAGAGAGAGGCCACAGAGTTTACCGGAAATGCATTCAGACGTGGGGTCAGTACATGTGGGTTATGTGACCTTGGGGGAGCCACTTATTCTACTGAGTCATGTCCATAGAGAGGTGACAAGCTGGACCACAGGGGTTATCAGGCGATGGAAGGAGATAAAGCTGTGACCTTTCATGAACTGTCACGTCCAAGGCAAGGGGCTGGACACTATGATGATTGTCACCAAGTCAGACTTTAGACTTTGGGGAGCTGTGACCCCTCCATCCCTCTGCCAGGGAAAGAAGAGATGACACAGCCCCCCAGACCCCTCCTCAGACGTCCCCTCTGCTGCCTTTCATCTCCATGCCACCTGACCAGGGAGCTGGAGCCTGTCTGGGAAGGTAGGAGGTGACACTAAACATCCTGTTTATTCCAGAGGAAGACACAGCCAGAGCTCGGGGCTCCTCAGAAAGTGAGCGCAGACTTTAGTGGAGGCCTTGGAAGGAGTAAGACCCGGGAGAATGTTCCATGTGGTCTCCAGATTTCTAGAGCTAGAGCTTCACGTGACTCCAGGGATAAGTGGGGACCCCAGCCACGCCCCTTTTGAGCGTCCCAGGGCTCAAAGCTCCCTTTTGGTGGTCCCAGGGCTCGAAGGTCTGGACTGGGCTCACAGGCTGCCACTGTCTCCCCTGAGAGCAGCCGCTTGACCACTGGGTTTGCGCTTATGTAAATGGGGGGCACACGGGCACCCATCGTGTGGCACCCGCGTGAGGTTGGTGGGTAACAGGTCAGAGTTCAGTGTGGAGCTGGGGCCACACTGAGGGTTCACACAAGGCTGGTATCCAGGTGAAGGTCTGGGCTTGGATAGACCTTCTGGAAACAGACGGTTTCTGAGCGTCCCCCTTGGGCTGTCCCCGCCAGTATTTCCCAGAATCGAGCTAACAGAAGAAAAAGGGCAGTGTTATCTGTAAGAGCAGTCCCGGACTTCTGATAAGGGCATCATGTGGACTTTGGGGGGGACGCATGCAAAGGGGCCTCGTTTTCTGACATTGTCTCCGGGGAGGGGCGTGCAAAGTCCCCCTCTGCTGGAGAACCAGAGACTCTCCTGGGCCTCCAGAGACATGACGGGTCAAGGAACTCAGGGAGGGAAAGAGTTGGCTTTGTTTGTACCCAGAAAAAGCTTTCCTTCTGAGGGCCCAGCTCGGAGGCTGAGGTAAGGGAGACTAGGAGGGCCAAGGGTGCGCCCCGACCGAGGACGTCGCTATGGCTTGGAGTCGTCCATCTCAGGCCCCTGAAATAGTTGTTCTTATTCTTCCCTTTTTTCAGGTAACAGGTAACTCGCTCAGGATGGCACAGCCAGTGAGTCCTGGTGCAGGGGAGGCCCACAGCTCTAGCCGCCGAGCCCTGAGACAGCAGGACGGGAACAGACAGAAGGAACAGGAGAAGCGTGACGTTCTTGTGAGCAGGCTGAGCCACGGAGAGCAAGGGTGGTGACTCGGGGAGACGGACTGCACCACCTTTCCCAAGCAGGCAGATTCCTATCTCCCGGGGAAGGTGGACATTGTTTCAAGGACTCACCCAGCCTCTGGGCAATTCTTTGAAGGTCACAGAACTTGGCTCAATCACCACCTGCTCCCGCCACTGCCTTCACCACCCTGTCCCCCCACAATGTCCCCACTAAGGACCCCAATTAAATCCTTTGCCAGAGCTTGGTGCACGGCAGCGGGGAAGAGGAGGGCTGGGCAGGAGGTGTCACTCAGCAGCCACTGGGTCCCAAGCAGGGCTTAGAGGAACAGCCCTTCAAGGCAGGATGCTCTTGTGCCTCTGCTTTTTGTTAGGGTGCCACCCACTTCCCTCCTGCCCATGGCACTAAGCCTCTCAAAAACTAGATGCTTGGGTTGAATTTCTGATGTTGTGTATTTCTGTCTGACCCTGGGAGCTCCCTATAGTTTCTCCCCACCCCCCAGGCTCCCCAGGAAGAAAGGAGCTTTAAGAGTCATCTGTCTTCCTTCCTGAATCTGCCCCCACATGCAAGCCAGTGAGATCCTGTGTAGAGCCAAAGGCTGCAGAGAAGGTGTGAGGGTAGAGAAGGCCCCAGCATCTGCGTCCCATCTCACTGTTGGGAGAAGGAGAAAAGCCCCCCTCTTGATGTTCCGAGGGCTCGAAGATCTGGACAAGTCTCACAAGCTCTGGAGCCGGCTTGGCC